GCTTACCTCACGAGACAATATAAAAATAAAATTCAATATTTTTTGAAAAAACATGGGATTCTTATTACAATATGCAAAGAAAAATAATATTTTAATTAAAAATTTTGATAACCCCTCATGGATGTTGGTTATTTTATAATGCTTGAGTTGTAAATCCTAAATTGGTGTTGAATATTTTACCTTTAGGAGCATGTGGCCTTTAAAAAGTCATAAGTGGCATAAATAAAGCCATTCTTAAAGAACTTTATGTGGCACTCTAAATAAATCGTGGATTTATCTGATTTGTTAACTACCATCCAATTATTGACATAGGGATTGCGAGTCATATAAACTTACGGGGAATAGAAACAAGAACCGAGAAGCATCTAATTACATATAACTAAAAGAATTGGGGTATACCCACGGTAAATGAATAGTGATGAACGAGTATTTCGGTTTTTTTTTTTTTTACGCAGCGATCGGCAACCAAGGCCCGGCTCTTAGGCATGCACGCGCCGGCCTTGGTCGCCCACCTTGGCCTCTTTCTCACTTTATATATATATATCTTTTAAGTTACACTTTCCACTCCGAAACATTTTTAATTTTTGATTTTATTACAAATTTGTAATGGTCGATAATTTTTTGTTATAATTTTAATTGTTAATAAATTTTTTTTGATATAATTTTATTTGTTGATAAATTTAGTTTTTTAATCTATGAATTTTGAGATAAAATTTTAAAACATCAATGTTTTATTTTTTACAATATTTTATTATAATTTATAAAATAAATTATTTTTATATTTTTAAATGAGCGTTTTATTTTCTAATATATGTATATATATATAGGGAGAGGGAGAGAGAGAGAGAGGAGCTAAAAGTATGTTTTAGATAGTTTGACTTAATTTATTTTAAAAAAAAATAATAACGAGTTAAAAAATTCATAAGTTTTATTTGCTTTTTTATATATATTTATTCGGAATTTATCAAAACTAATTTTGTTGTTGTTTTTACTTTAGAACATCAATGTTTTATTTTTTAAAAAATATTATTATAATTTATGCAATAAATTATTTTTTTATTTTTAAATGAGTATTTTATTTTTTAATATATATATATATATATATATATATATATATATATAGAGAGAGAGAGAGAGAGAGAGAGAGAGAGAGAGAGAGAGAGCGCTAAAAGTATGTTTTAGATCATTTGACTTATTTTTTTAAAAAAAATTACGAGCTAAAAAATTTACAATTGTTATTTTCTTTTTTATATATATTTATTCAGAATTTATCGGAATCAATTTTGTTATTATTTTTATTTTAATCTATTGAATTCAATATATTTCTACAATTTAGGTAAATGTTTTTTGTATATTTTCTATTTATTCTATATCCTATTAATCTGTTACATATATTAGAAATTAACTATATATAGATTTAATTTATATTAATTATAAAAAATAAAATTTTCTACTGACATTACATCATATAAATCATTAATCCTGTGTATATAACGGTTGTCTATCTGCGGCGTAGCGCGGTTATCCAACTAGTTATTACTAATAAACTAAAAGGCATGAGATTTTTCAACAGTAAACCAATGTTCATAGACTATTTATTCATCGTTCACTTTGTTTTTTTTTTTTTTTTGGTTACTTGTTCACTTCTTCCTTTTTGCTTTTTTTTTCTTTTCCACCAATACCATTTCATGCTAGATTTATTTAACAAGCCAAGTGTTGCAATTTTTTTTCTAAAATTTAAGTATCTAAAAATTAATATGTTAATTTTTAATTTCAGATTTTTTAAATTATTTTTATTATAAATTGATTTTTTTAGATTTTCATCTATTTTGACACTAAAAGCATGTATAAGATATACATGATTGATTTCTTAAATTTTCAAATATCTAAAAATATGTCAAAACATGTGAATTTTTTTCTCGATTTTTAAAAATATTTGTTAATTGTTTTTTAGTATTTAGGAAAAAAATTTTTTAAATAAAGTATCTGTAAATTTTTATATACTTTTAGAAATTGAGAAATTACACTTATTGGTTAAAGTAAAAAAAAACATCTAATAAAATAACATAATTTCAAATAAAAATAATTAAAAAAAATTCAATTTGAAATTAAATTGAAAATTTTATTCTTAAATAATTAAAAATTAATGAAAAGTTTTAACGAGTTTATAAAAAATAGTAAAACAAAATGAGTTTTTACTATTCGTAATACTATTCGCATACTCACAAATAACTTTTTTTTATACTTTGGTCCTTAATCTTTCTATATATATATATTCAATTTCAAATTTCAATTGTATTGTGATTTAGTCCCATTTTTTTTTATAATTTTTTTATTAATTACCTGTATTATTTAAAATTTATTACTTTAGTTTGTCATTTTTTTTAAATTCTCATCAAATTAATTTAAACTTTTATTTACTAATAATTTTGATTTATTTTTCTATATGTATGGATTTTGGAATAAATTTTTAGAACATAATTCTTGTGAAAATTAGATTTATATAATTTTTAAATTACACTTATTGGTTAAAGTTAAAAAAAAATCTAATAAAATAACATAATTTCAAATAAAAATAATTAAAAAAATATTCAGTTTGAAATTAAATTGAAAATTTTATTCTCAAATAATTAAAAATTAATGAATAGTTTTAACGAGTTTATAAAAAATAGCAAAACAAAATGAGCTTTTACTATTCTTAATACTATTCGCATACTCACAAATCACTTTTTTTTTTTTTATACTTTGGTCCTTAATGTTTCTATATATATATATATATATATATATATATATATATATATATATATATGTTCAATTTCAAACTTCAATTGTATTGTGATTTAGTCTCATTTTTTTTAGTTTTTTTTATTAATTACCTATATTATTTAAAATTTATTACTTTAGTTCATCATTTTTTTTAAAATTCTCATCAAATTAATTTAAAAATTTATTTATTGATAATTTTGATTTATTTTTCTATATGTATGGATTTTGGAATAAATTTTTAGAACATAATTCTTGTGAAAAATAGATTTATATAAATTTTAAATTATAGTGGCATGGTAATATATATCATTTGTCTAAAATACCTTTTTAGATTAAAAGTGTATTTCAAATAATTTTATTTTTATTTTTTTAAAAAAATCAAATTAGGTAATTAATAATTGAAAGTCAAATGTTAAAAACAAAAAAGGGATGGTTGTTCTACGCGTGAGGCATGTATTCAAGAACTAGCCATGTATAGCATAAAAATAAAAATTATTTTAGGATGAAAAAAAGAAAAAGAATTCACACGTTTTATTTGTTTCTTCTTTATATAATCAAAATTCATCGAAATCAATTTTGTAATAATTTTTATTTTAGTATATTAACTTCAAATTTAGTCAATATATTCCTTGCAAGTTAAAAGTTTTTTTTATAGTGTTTTTTGTTTTATGCTAAAAACTGCGAATCCACTTAGTATAGTTATGATGTATAAAAAAATATTGAATCGCTGTTTTTTTATAAATTAACTATGCAACTACTACCACACTTAGCATTTACTATTTATTTATTTATTTATGAATATTTAAAAATTAATTTATTTTAAATTAAATAATTAAAATTATGTTTTGGCTTAACCTCTCAATGATTCAAATTAATATATATTTTTTATTTTAATATTTTTTATTTTTTTATAAATAAATATATAAAAATTAAATTCATATTTTTTAAAAAACCGATATTCTCATCAACATTATATAAAAATACAAAAACAAATTTTTTTTTGTTCAATTTCGTATAAGTTTTTATTGATTATTAGTTTAGTTTTTCAATACAATCGTATGAAATATTAAAACTTTTTAAAATTTTAATTTAATTTTTTTTGTTAATAATCCATGGATTAACAAGAATATATCATATTTCTAACGGAAAAATCATGAAAGGTAAAAATAAAAAATAGTTAAATACAAAATTTTGATTGAATAATTATAAATATTTTTTTTACTTTTGATTTCATATTTTTTATAGATTTATATTATAACACGGACTATCAAATTAAAATAATATTTTTTAAAAATAATTCTATATATTTTATACCACCTACAGCTCAGCAAGGGTAAAAATCTAACGTGTTCTGTAACAAAATGTGGATTTTCTTTGTGAAAACTTTTTATGACTGCTGTTTTCTTAGTTTCGTAGGACACTAGGCATGAGTACTTGCTGTCGATGACCATGCATCATGCGCCACACGTGGTTATGATGATTCTCACAGCCTCCCCTATAAATCCAGACCAACGTAACTAATACAATAGTTCATCCTTTCCACTGTCTGCCAGCCAATCACGTCCCTCCGCGTCACCATTAATCTTCAACTTGATTCTAATGTTATGCTATACGTGGCAAGATATCATTGGTCATGATGTAAAAAAAAGTAGGAACTTTCCAGACGATAGAACCCTAATGCCGCTGCCTTTTTTAACTATCAAGATACTCGAACTATTAATTGATATAATTTAAGAAAAATATTATTTATTTTTTTATTCTAAAATAAATTTGATTTTTAATTTTTTAAAAATAAAAATATTTTTTAAAAATCTAGTATTTAAAATTTTAATAGCACAATCATTTTAGAATAAGTATAAATAAAAAAACGAATAATTTATTTGGGACAGAAGGAGCAGCAATAATTCCCGGGATTAATAGAAAAATAAATGAAATGCCAACTACCTAAATCAAGTCGCAGTTGCCAAATGTGCTTCTCACGAAAAATTTGAAGTCAGTAGTCAACACATAGGTCCTAATACCAAAACTACCCTTTTATATTTCCCTCTTTTATTATTATCCTCCTCGACAAACCTGAAAAAAAGCCAGGAAAGCTAAAGGCAAAGCCACCACTCACCAAATCCACCTCCTCTCTTTCTGCCTTTCTCCATTGCTTTCCATTTCCTAAAACTCTCCAATTTTGAGTTTTAGATCCGTAAAATTACATATAATTTTTATATAATTTTTGTTTTGATATGGACCGGATCATCGGTGGAAAGTACAAGCTTGGCCGGAAGATCGGCAGTGGATCCTTCGGTGAAATTTATCTAGGTATTTATAACTGAATTATTATTAATTGTTCATGTTAAACTGTGGTGATGGTTTTTGTTTAATTTGTTCTCTGTGTTTTTGCAGCTACTCATATCGATACGTTTGAGATCGTTGCTATTAAGATCGTAAGTTTTTCTTAATAGTTGAGCTTTGTTACTGATCGTGAAATTACTGTAGCTTAGCTATTTAATTTAATTTGATTAATAATTGTGTGTTTGCAAGAGAACACTAAAACATGAATTTACTGTAAGCTTAGTTATTTAATTTAATTTGATTATTAATTTCGTGTTTGCAGGAGAACACTAAAACAAAGCATCCGCAATTGCTTTACGAGGCGAAATTATATAATATTCTACAAGGAGGAAGTATGTATGATTAATTATATTGTTTCTGGTTGATGATGCTTATAATTTGAGCTGTGTGATTGACTGTGTTTGTTTTTTAGGTGGTATTCCTAGCATCAAATGGTCGGGTGTAGACGGGGAGGACAATGCACTTGTTCTTGATTTGTTAGGACCGAGTCTCGAGGACCTGTTTGTGTATTGTGGGAGGAAATTCTTACTCAAGACTGTGTTAATGTTGGCTGATCAAATGGTATGCAGCTTGTCGATACTCAATGTAAAGCTATTCAAGTCTTTCTATAGTTTGTTAATTGATTTTTTCTTTAATTCTTTGTCTTTGCAGATTACGAGAATAGAATATGTGCACTCCAAAGGATTTCTGCATAGAGATATAAAACCTGATAACTTTCTCATGGGTCTTGGCCGGAAAGCAAATCAGGTGATGATTTTTCTCTGTTGCTTTCCTTTTTTTATTTTTTATTTTTTGTTTGATATACTTGGTTTCCATGTGGTGACAATCCCATACTTCTGTTGGTTACATCAGGTTTACATAATTGATTTTGGGCTTGCAAAAAGATATCGAGACGCAACAACCAATCGTCATATTCCATATAGGTAATTCCAGTTTAGTTAGTTTGTTTACTTGTTCTGTGATGTAGGGTGGTTTCCTGCACCTGATATGTATTTTGAATTGTGGCTTGTAATTGGAAACTATTTTTAGCAAAAATCTGATGGGAAAAGAAAAAAAATGTACAAGGAATCAAATTTTTATTTAGAAACTATTTTTTATCAAATTTTTATTTAGAAACTATTTTTTCCACATCAATTTTGCACTACTAATTGTTTTGCTGTACAGGGAGAACAAAAATTTGACAGGAACTGCACGATATGCCAGTTGCAATACTCATCTTGGAATTGGTAAGCAAGGGGATATTAGCATGTATATGAACATGTGTATATGGATAATACATTTGTTTGTTTACCTTTTTGTTAGCATCAGTCTTGATCCCACCTCATTTTGTGTCCTTGTTGCAGAACAAAGTAGGCGGGATGATTTAGAGTCTCTTGGCTATGTGCTGATATATTTTTTGAGAGGAAGGTAACTTTTTAGCTGCTCTTTTTGGCGGACTCTTTTTTTCTTCTTGCAATTTAAGTTATGTACTCCCAGGCCTGAAGTTTGGACTTTGTTTGGGTTGAGGTGTTGGAATTTGTCTAGGGTATCACATTTCCAGCAGTTTATTATGTTTGTCTTGGATTTTTGAAAGTTGAACTGACTCAATTGTGTTTGTGGTCTTAGTCTTCCATGGCAGGGTTTAAAAGCTGCCACGAAGAAGCAGAAATATGACAAAATATGTGAAAAGAAGTTATCAACTCCAATTGAGGTTTGTGTCTACCATTTAATTCTGTTAAAGACTTTAGCTCATGTATATATCATTTTAAAATATGTCTCTTAATTCGTAGGTTCTGTGCAAATCTCATCCCGTGGAGTTTGCTTCGTATATGCATTACTGCCATTCTCTGACTTTTGATCAACGGCCTGATTACGGATTCTTGAAGCGTTTGTTTCGTGATCTATTTGCCCGTGAAGGTATTGGTGAAGAAAATGTTGGCATTGTAATATATTAGTAACACAAAAAACGACTTTTGCCCTGATATTAATCCTTGTGGTTGCAAGCACAGAACTTTTATCATGAAACCACAAAATGGCCTAAATTGATACTCGCCCGCTGTTATACTTCCTTGGGCCCTTCTTTTTACTCCATGTGTAGCCAACAGGAGCCACAAATCATGGACTTGGATATAATCAGCTGTTTTCATAGTTTTTATGAGGTCTTATGCATTGGAAAACAGTCTTTGCCAAAAAAAGCTAAAAACTAATTACCAATCTATTTATACCACAACTAAAAGAAAAAAAGAAAGTGAAGGGGGGCCCAGGGTTGTAGTTTTTATGGTCTTCTGAACTTAAGGAATGGAAATTACTTTTAAATGCTTTATCTGGTGTGTCTATATTGATGTAGTCATTTTCCTGCTTCCGTGGCAGGATATGAATCTGATTATGTGTTTGATTGGACAATGATAAAGTATCAGCAGGCACAAAAGAATAGAGTTCAACCTCGACCATTGGTCAGTACCTCTGCTTCTTGTATTTTGTTTTTATTTCCCCAACTCCTCTTTGCTGAATATGTTTGCATTTGTAATCACAGTGTTACTCATATATGACATCAATTTTTTAGTTACATGAGCTGCAATTGTATACAATATAATTTTTTAATAGTTGGAAATCCGGATATTGTCATTACTCACGACATGATTCAAACTTCACATATTACAGCCAATTCCTGGGGCAAGTAGTAGTCATGTGGTGCAGACAGATATGGAGAATCATCAAGGTTAGATCCTGCTGATTCACTTTGAGCATCTTGATGAATCTTGTAATTGTTGACTGCAAGAGAAAATTATTTGAAGTTTAAGTTTGGTTCTACTTACTTTCCATATTCAAATGTTAAATGGCGCTATTTATTATAATGCTAATTCAGGTGAACGTAATTTGTACTCAACTAAGATTGAAGTGATATTGAGGTTACAATTAACAACACAACACCTCTGTTTACTAATGTAAAATTTTACCGTGGCTTAACTTTTTATCAAAGAGCAAAGTTTTTTTTTTTTTTTATTTCCTTTTTAATGGTGAATTGTTCTTGTGTCTGTTGGAGGATATGCAGTATAGTACAATATAAACCAACATTATCCTGTATTGCAAAACAGAGACTACTTCTGGTTAATGAGATGATTGCGACCAAATAAAAGAAAACTTACAAGGCTATTTTCCTTCTACCTTCTATCCTTGTATCATTGTTGATGTTACGTCATCATTGACCTTCTTATGAGGGAGAGTGATTCATCTGAAGACTGGGCGAGACTTATTTGTTTCTTTGTTGATGTTTTTGTTTTATGTTTTTGGCTTTTGACGAGAGAGAGGCAACCATGATTGGGACTCATCTGTTTCTCTACTGATGTTTATTTTATATTTTTCCTTTTGGTGGGAGGGAAGTGATAATGATTATTAAGATTTCATTTGAAGAAGAGGCTATGTGATCCAGGAGCAGTACTCGATTAATTATAAAAATGGGCAGAGTACTGTATTGATTTTCTTCTAATCTGGTCTTTTCTTTTCTTGCCTCTGTCCTTTGTCATTTTTATCATGGTATTTGGAGGCCTAAGGTTTCTATTAGTTTTGGCCATGGGTCTCTTAATTCCTTTCTATTGGGTTGCTATTGCTGTAATGAAGGATGGTTATTCATATTTTGAGAATGCCACTGTCTTCTTCATGACCATGCAGTCAAGAAGACCAGTCCCTTTGTCTGTGTGCTAATGTCTGTTTTACTTGCTAGATCTCTCTTAGATAGCCAAATTCTTTTCTGAGTAGGCTTGACCACATTATTGTGGTCCATTTAATGTCTCCTTGTTGTGATGTTTTGTTTTCTTTCATCTCCTTGTCATTTGAATGGAGTGGATTGACAAAACATTTGGTGCAATAAATTAAAAAGCTGCCTCTTTTGAAACAAAAGATGCAATGGATCTTTTAAAACTTAAGAGGTAACAAGTCAAAGGCTGTCTGAATGTTGTTCTCATACATTAGGGAATTGATTTGTGGAAAAAGTTATATGGTTTTAACCCCGTTTCTTCAACAAGTATTCTTTGTTAGCAAAATTACATGCAGTTAAATCAAGTAGTTTATGATGCATAAAAGGTGATCTGTGAAACTTATTTACAGTTACTCAGTTGATAAGAATGGCTTCCGAATGGAACAATAATATGGTAGATGTGGTAGAGGTGCATGTATCTTTAGATAAATATTAATCTTGGTATTATTGATGAGTTGGCTCTTATTTAGATATATTAAGACTTGCTCTGATTGGCAGGAAGTCATAATGTCCCTTATTCATCTGAGGTCATACGATCTACTGGCCCTGGCGTACGGATGCAATTCAAATCAACAATGGGCAAGAATTTGAGTTCTGATATTCATGCCGACAAGAATGTAAGCTATATCCTATTTCCAACCAAACAAGCAAATAAAATGGTTTTATCACATTGACAGGAATGTAAGTCTAATGACTACTTACTAATGAGCTTGATACACGTATATTATCGGATCCCATTGCTCTTGTGTTTGTTATCGGTTTGCCAAAGAATAACGAGAATTAATCACCCTAAAAATTGTCTTTCATGGATTGTGTGCAACATATTATGAATTCTTCACCCTATAATTTATTTCTTTTGTAGATTGTGAGCGAACACATGCCCTCCACATCATTTCAACTTGGTGGGACATCAAAAAGACATGCCCCAAAACCCATTATGCCTACTGAAAGTTCTAACCCTGCTCATGGACACGGCAATAAAATCGGTCCTTCTAGTAGCTGGATTTCATCATTGCAACGTATTCATTCTGGAAAGTGATCGAGATGGTAACTTTTCTTGTCCATACATCAATCGTGCACAAAGGTTGGGTACATGTCACTGGGAATGCAATTATACTGTTCCATTAACAGTATGGTTGATGTAATGCCATTCATTGTGTTTTAGCAATGGATCTGGTCTAGAGGTTTCTTGTGATGTATCTATTGGAGGCAGCAAATCTTTGGTGATTTGGAGTCATGGTTTCACCCTCCACCCGGTGAAGAAATTTCCAGTACATATTTATGGGCTCCAGTGTGCTTTGTTCCCCTAAGAAAACCAGCTCACATTATTTTTTCTTAAGGTGACTACAAACACTTTGGTGGTTATAAAATATTGACTATCCAAAGCTTGGTTTCTGTCCTGTACATAGATGTCATGAATGACACATAGAATACTGTATTTATGGTTTTATGTAATGAAAATTTAAATGTGAAGCTTTTGCCCCTCGCAACTTTTTTTTCACTAGGGGATAAAAGTTCCCTTTTGCCATATGGATTATTGTTGACAATTTTCCTTGTTTTGCTTGATTAATACTTCCAAGTTTCTGATTTACTCTCTGGTATCATATGGACTGGAGCCTTAAAAGTTCCAGGACCATTTTGCACCTCAATCACCAAATATTCCCTAATCCTAATGGATATTATGAACATGTTACACATGAGTTCCCTATTATTGTTTCTGATACAAGAGAATTATCCGAGTTATTTTGACATGCTTTTTTCTTGAGGTTACGCATAAGTGTCATTGTAGGCTGAACAGGATCATTTATTTATATTTCAGACATTTCATATACATGGGAAAATGTTACTGCTTCTGGGGATTTATAAATATAGATAAACAAGTTGAAGAAGGCAGATGGCTCTACACATTGAAATATATATATTTCTATGCATTTAAACATGTGATCGTCCATGCTACATTGACAGATTAATTCAACAGAACGTTTTAAGCATCACTGTTTTCGAATATGAGGAGTTTGATGATTTGTTTTTATTTGATTTCTACTACTTGAATGTGTTTTCCCTTTCTTTTGACATAAGGTCCTTTCCTTTAACATAAGGTCCTTTCCTGAAGGTGCTGCTGAAGAGAAAAGAGATGAGCTTTGCTCTGGCTGTTGCTGTTCTTTTTTGTAACATTTCTGTATTGCCGCCTTATTTTGGCTTTCTTTTTTCTTTCTTTTCGCTCTTTGTTTTTTTCAGCCTGCATTTGAGATGAGGTGACTCAGTTTTCCCTAGCTTGATTTTCACATTCCAATTTTCTATTCATATAATTTCCTCAATTGCTCAGGTTTGCTGAAAATCATAAGTTTATTCAGTTCTATCATGTTGATGCGAGCAAGGTTATAGGAATCTGTAGCAAATCGACATTCATGTTGTAAACAGTTCTAAATAGTCTCAATTATTAGTTCACACTTTGTAATTTGCAGGATTTTTTTTCTCCCACAGCATTCAAAGGAATGAATATAACTGGGAACTGTTATGGAGGGATTGCATTTGAAGATCGTAAAACATATGGCTCTGGATGTTTGCGGCTACTTGGGTTGGAAGAGGCTGCCTAACTGCTGATCAGGGAAGGTGTTAAAGATCATTAACAATTTTGCTGCTGTTTATTTATGTGGGCCTACAATTCTGCAAGTTTGCAGTTGCTACAGTATGTTTGTGCAGTCAAGTTGCGTCTTTAATTCAACTGATAAATAGTGAAATTTGTCATTTTGTTGTGAAAGTAGAAATAAGCCTTTGCCATGATATAGCCAGGGAGCATCAGATGCAAGAATCGTTACTTATGTTGGACTGGTTGAGATTTTTCAAAGAGTGGAGTGTGCAACATAATCATCTTATGTTGGTAATCATATGATTTGAGATTGCAGCTGCAGAATACAGGATGAGGAATGGCATGTTGGTATTCTCACTTATTTCAGTTTGTCATTTACACGCGAGTTATTGCATGCCATTGGGTACACCTGCATATGTTTGTGTTTGTACTTGGGTTTGGTTCAGTTTGGAGATCTGGCATGCCCATAATCATTTTCAATTACTGAGGCAGTGCATTTGGTCCTTGAAGAGGCTTTTCATTCAATACTGAAAATTAAGATGTTGGGACCTAAGGAAGCATGAGAGTGTTGGGTTCCCAATTCCTTGGTCAGCATTTGTCAGGACAGTTCTATAGAATACCCCGCTAATATGCCATGAATGCTATGGTGGTGCAGTTTGAAGGTCTCATTGCTCTTGATATAACCATGTGATAAAAGGGGAAGCCTCTGCCGCTATGCATTGAGATAAGTATGTACAAAATCTATTCAGTAGCAGACCGGCTAATGATTGGAGAAGTGAGTTTGCATCTCATGCTGCCATGAGATCCTCCAATAAGTGGTTTTCAGGGGTAGACCCTTGATTAGTTCTGAACGTTCAATGGTCCACTCTTTTCAAGCTAAGCTCTCCTCCAGGAAATGAAAAGAAGTGCATGAAGACTGATGGGTACAGATCCTGAGAAGGTTTTTCTGGGATCTGAATGTTGATAGAGAGCCTTTGTAAATGATGATAATCCTTAGAAGGTAAGCCATTTAAACCCAGCAGCATGCATTCTTCGCGAAATTCATGGTTTTAATCTTATGTTCTTCTCCCTGGGTATGCAGCTTCTTCATCTATTTTGTATTAGCAGCCATCGTCCTTAGGGCTGGTAGTTCGTCTTGGGAATATGTCAGCAGCAGGAAGTTGAGCATTGGAAAGATGAAGACTTGGCTGAAATTAAGGCTGGAGGAAATTATTCCTTGGCAGATAACAAGAAATGTTTATCTAATGGAACAATTATGTACTGCTGCTTGATTGGAACCTGTTTACTGGATTTTGTCTTTCCCGTTTGGAACAGTGCTTTGTGCCTGTCTGTCAGATTTGCCGATTCACTGGCTGTGTTCCCTGAAACAATACAAAAAGAAAAAGGGGAAACAGGACACGAAATACGAAACCGAAAACCGGACCTTAACAAACAAAAGGAATTGACTAAGGGTTGTTAGGTTTTGCTTCTGATGTTACATTTGTTCACCTTTGGCTGGTGGCATCAATTCTCGCCGTCAGTGAGATGTCAAAAGGGTACTAAGTGTCAACTTGTGTGCATACAAATCTTATCTTCTATTAAAAGATGGCAAAAGGGTTGGTTAGTTAGGTATGATTATTCCTAAATGTTAGAATTCAGTATCTCATAAAAGTTTTTAGAGGAGTGCTAGCAGTACTCTCTATCACTCCTCTTTAAACACTTGCATAATAAAAATGTCCATATCAAATCTTTAACATAATATGAGATTTGTTATAATTTTAAAACTTTTTAAAAACATAGAGTATGAATTATCTTTTGTTTGTTATTATTTACCATGAACACTTTTATTAACCAATTAGTTAAAAGTAGAGTGTAAGAGAGAATATTGCTAACACTCCTCTGTATTATAATTATAGTATGCACAAAATTAAATATGCAGCTGGGTTAAATATGTAGCTGGGTTGGCAAGGGTTCCCCTCTGCCACCCAGAGGCTCCGCAATTAATGGCATGACAATAATAGTGTTAGTGAAGATCATAATTGTAATGGTATAGTGTTTTTTTGTTTTTTATTTTTAAAATATTTCATATCTAAAAGTTTTAAACTAATCTCTTGTTGTTACGTCGGACGCACAAGACGAGGACATCTACCTAAAAAACTTTTTTCATACACAAGAATTCTAATTCAAGACCACTTATTTAAGTGATTAGAGCTTCTTTTATTCAAACCAATCCTCTTAGGTTAATAATGATATAGTATTGAAATGGTTGTGATACTATCATAATATTAGTGAAAGTGGTGATAACCATGTAAAAATAGCAATAATGTATGCTACCATAAATTTAAAAAATAGCAATAATGTATGTTAGAGTTTACGCTAATTAATAACATAAAAAATCAAAATAATTTTTTTGGTATTTGTTGAGAGCAATTATTGTTATTAAAACTTTTATGTATTACTAATAACAAAAATATAAGAATCGTACATCATTCTTGCAAACCATGATGCTTGTTGCTACGATAAGGATTTGGAAATCTTTCAAAAAAATAATGTACGTTAGAGTTTACGCTATGTTGTATATTATTTTCATATGTAATACTTTTGCTCGTATACAAACACCAATAGATGATACTTGGTAGAATCATCTTGAACTTTCATGGTATCGGATCTTTTGAAGGTCTAAATTTCTTTCTTTTCTTCTTCCCTAATTCACTCTTCTTCTTTTCCCTCTACTCTTCACTCGATTATTGCGGCTTCCAACTCAAACACCTTCTTTTTAACCTCTCCTTTCAATAACATCACGGAGAAATTATCCGAGGGTCTTGGAACTCCACGTCATATAAGAACCCCTTCCACTCATTTTGTGCCATGTGGAAATTTTTTTACACATGGGATAAAAGATGGATAAGTTAAAGAAAGTTTCATCTTCTCCTTCATCCCTCGTCTCTCTCTCTTCGGCGGCTTGCCGCCCAACTCCTCCTTCCTCCATCGTCTCTACCCTAGATGCGAGTAGCTTATTTCTCTCGACGTTGTTGTAAGGTTTTTTCTTAAGCTAGGATCTCATTTATGTCAATTTTTTAAGGCCAAGTAATAGCATTTAAACAACGAAACGATATGCTTGAAGTTATTTTCTCGGACAAACTAATTGTAAGAGTTTTCCGGTGTTATTTAATGGGATTGACATTGAAATCGGATGGACATGAATCTTTGGAAGACATAGTCGCCCTGTTGTAAATGTACGTGATTTGGCGGAAGATAAATATATTTGTGAACTCTACCTTGAGTTTCGTTGTAAGAATCTTCCATTGTCAATTTACAATCTCCTCCATCACGTTCAAAGGCACCGCCCGAGTTGGTAATTCTTTCAACCCTCAAAAATCAAAATGATACATACACGAGTCTTTAAATTGGAACGGACTTTTGATGATTGGCTTTTGCAACGTAGATCTCTGAAAAGATTGAAAAGTACTATGGTAATGCTTTGGCTAGAGACTTGTCTTTTCTAGGCATGGAATTTGAGATAAAGAAATATTTATCAACTTGGTTCATTTTTACAAGGGAAAAAGGTACTCCACTTTACTAAGCACTTGTTTTCATTGCTTAAGTCAATGATTTATTTATCTGCAGACTTATTTATTGAGAAAGAGTCGACAAAGGAAGGAGAAGATGAAAGATTCTTTTATTTATTTAGGGTTTTTATTATCCCACGTGTAAAAAAATTTACACATGACATATAATAAATGGAAGGTTCCTATATGACGTGGAGTTCCGGGACCTTGGATAATTTCTCAACATCACATCTCTTATAACCATTAAACTTGACTTCGAAAATTATATGACTTGGCGTGACCAAATCATGCCATTCTTGATTTGCTATGATCTCCTTGGCTTTGTTGATGGATTTATCGGAACTCCTCCATCAATAATTTCATATTCAACTTCCAACAAATAAGTATTCAATCCCAAACATAAGAAGTGGCTTGAGCAGGATCAATATCTTTTGACGTTGCTGAATGCAAGGTTATCTCTAAGTGCAAGTGCTCAAGTGTTGGGTTTGCCGACTTTTAAGGCTGTTTGGGACACTTTAGAAACATTGTTCCAGCAACAATTCCAAGCTCGATTAGATGTTCTTCGTGATCGACTTTAAAATATCAAGAAAGGAACTTTTACTGGTGAAGAATATGTTGCTGAGATAAAGGCCCTAGCTGCTGTTAATCAACATTTATTGAGTTCGAGTTGATTACACACTCTAAATGGATAACAAGATCTACGTACTTGAATATCAGTCTTTTGTCTATGCAATGGAGAATAGAGAACGACCTTGTTTCTTTGATAATCTTCGAACATGATTATTTGTTCGTGAGAAAAGATTGCAACATATGAAATCCACTCAGTCCACAACACTACGATCGGATTCCCAATTTCAAGAGACTGCCTTTGTTAATCAAACTCAAAAAATCAGAATTCTTGATTTGGACTCCCAAATTCATACAATCAAAGTCAATATTCTTAGCCTCGTGGTGGGCTACCTAATTATAATCTTAATATATTGTCGATTTCATCCATGCTTTAGACGATCTTTTGAACGTAATTTTCAAGGTGGCCTTCGCTATCAAATTTGTGATAGAACTAGTCGTACTACAAATACTTGTCGTTTACGGTTTATTCGTAACGATGACTCTGACATCATACCTACAAATTTTGCTAGTCTTCAATTTGGTCCACACTCATACAAGAACTTTGCCTCGTCTCATTGTATTACTACTCATTACCTACTGATTCAAGTGCAACTAGTCATTTGGGTTCAGATTCAAATTTCCATCATCAAGATAATTCTTTTACCAGTAGTAATAAGGTTTATTGTAACATGAAATGCGTAGTGTACAATAAAAATTAGCAGAAGTAAATATTTGATAAATAGTTACGAAAATCATTGCTTTTCTTTTTCTTTTTCTTTTTATATAATTGTAAATTTTTAATGGGTTGTTTTCAAATTCTATGTAAAGATAGAAATAAGTAAATAAACGTGGTTACAATTTATTCAACTTTTTTGGAAGCTATAAACAAGGATGATGCCAGACGGGTGTTGTTTTGTTAACTATTGCGCGGAACAGATGAATCAGCTAGGGCTGGGCTTGCCACAACATGAACAACAACAACAACAATAATAATAACCGTGATTGATTCAAAAAGGGAAAAGGAAAATCAAATTTAAAATACGCCCACCGTGGGGCTCGAACCCACGACCACAAGGTTAAGAGCCTTGCGCTCTACCGACTGAGCTAGACGGGCTAGTTGATATTCTTCACATATATTAAGTTTATTATAGTGATGTTTTAATGCTTTGTTTGTTTGAGATTTCAGTATTTGTTTTGTATTCAGAAAAAAATTCAACGAAAAATGATTTTCAGTCAACAACAAAAAATGATAGAGTAATTTTAGAAAAATATTTTTCTAATTTCAAAAGAGGAAAATATTTTCCTTCTCACGAGCTGTCTCGCTCTCTCGTTACTTAATTCTCACTCGATATATTTTAATAATTTTTTCTCTATCTTTTTTTTTATTTAAAATATATCATATTAATTTTTAATTAGTTCTTTTCAATTATTTAATTATTTTTTCTTTATCTTTACTAATATTTGATTTTTTTTATTTATAGATACATTAAATATTCTTAAAAACTATTTTTACTCCTTCAAATTATTTTTATAATAAATATTTCAATAACTTATCTTTCTTCTTTTTTTCTTCTTTTTTTTTTTTTAACTATTGTCTCAAAAACTACCTGAGCTATAGTTAAATGATCGAAAATGATTATTACAATACTATAATTTTTTGTAAAAAAATAAAATAAAATAAATTAATTCATCAATAAATATATTATTTTTTCAACACTATTCATTTGCAATTAAATCAATAATTTATAATTTTAATCAATTGTAAAATTTTGTTGGTAATTGTAACGAATAATTAGTTATAAATTATTTCAACATTAATCTTTTGAGATCAAATAAATAATTATCTATAAATGATAATTTATAATTTATAAAATTATTTTTTACACTAAATTATCAGTTCAATTTCTTAAAAAAAAAAAAAAATCTTAATTGAGTTACTAAAATAATAATGCTAGGATTACTTAGAATCTTTTTTTTTTTTTACTAAATATGAATATTGACTTAATTTTGTCCCAAGTAATTTTGATGATTTGATTTGATTGTTAAAGAAGTACATTTTATTTTTTGAATTAAAATTTTAGAGTTAGTATTGATGAAAATTTATTAAATTTTTCTAAATGTGTCTTATATAATGAAATTATGAATATGTCTTTTTAAAATTTTCTCAAATCATATAAGTTTTTGTATTTTAATTTTCTCGTATCAAACAAATATTGAAATATATTTTTCAACAGCTTTTTCATATAATTACCAAACGATAAAAAATATGTTCTTGGAAGATAACTTTTAGGAAAATAGCATCCTCGGGAATTGATTTTTCTATGAAACTTGTTTTTTCCGAAACAAACACGACCTAAGTTATCGAACAAGTTAATATATTTGATAATTTAAATGCCGAGGATAAATTTATATCACCCAACAGACATATGGGTTTGTTAAGGAAAAAAGAAAGATAAATGTGCCATTTCTTCAGCAGGAAAGGGGTTTGGTTTGCCAAATCCTGATCAAGCTCAATAAGCTTTCTAAAACGGCGAAAACATTTATCCTTGTAACGGGAACAAGATATATAGATGACAGAAGAGCTGAAAGTTCGGCTATGAATAGTTCCGAATTAGAACGTTGAAAGAATAAAAAATGCACAAGGGGGAAGGGAAAGGGAAAGACACTGATCGTTTCCAAAAAATCATTCTCAAACGCCAACAAAATGTTTTCACCACCTGCATTTGGAGAAATATTAGGTTTCAACACACAAGAAGAGAGTGAAATATTAGGTTTGAACACACATGAAGAGAGAGCCAGATTAACGAACCACTCCAATAATAGTTATTTTTTGGGTAAATAGACATCTCCGTTTCCACTCTTCATGAAGTTCTTCAAAACAGCCACAACTTTAGCCAGCACAAACCCAGGTTCTTCAGTGTCAGCTCCAACCATATCTGCCAACAACTTAAGCTTCTTTCTTGCTCCTTCATGGTAAAATAACTCCTCATCAATATTGCATTCTTCATCGTTCAATGTGACATCTGATCCTTCATGACACGAGGACTCTGGATCAGACTCCAAGCCAAGGTCTTCTTCCAATATACCAGAACTCTTAGACGAGTCTTTCTCATCAGGTACCTCCAGAACCATAGCTATGGTTCTCTTAGCCCCCCTACCTCTCCCTTTCCCAGCCGGCTCACGTATAGCCACACGCTTCATGCAACCGAAGTTGTCTACGAGGGTCTTGGGTTTAGAGTACAAGGCTGTAATGGAATGGTTAGAAAACGTATGACTTTGTTGCTCAACATTACAAAACAGCCTTGAAACCTTCGAGCTCTTATCTCCCGAGTACATTGTTGGATGGAATTGAGCGTATGGGAAATCAGATGCATCCCAAGGGTTTTTAAACGAGTGGGCGAATGGCTTTGCATTATAGACATAATAATTAGAGACGGTTACAAAGGCAGACCACAGTTTGAGAGAGAGAGAGAGAGAGGAAAAGGGATCGCAGACGTTGCCGCTGTAACTGAAAAGATTAAATTATCATGTCATGATGGAAATTAAATGGGACAGTTTCCGTCTGTGCCTCTCCACAGCTGAAATGGAACCCACCTTTGGCTTTGGGTTGGTTCTTCTTGTGCGTGAAAGTTAACATAAGCTAGTCTTTTTGGCTAATCATTTCTGTGATTAAATGTCTGTAGATTACAACAGCCTAATTTGGTTAAATTGAAACCTTATAAACTAGACCAAAGCTACGTACTAGTTATATCATACCCAGATGAAAGGGATTTTTTGAATTTTCTGAAACCCAATTGAAGCAAAATGAATGATGACCAGCAAATTCAAACTGTGTTGCACAAAATCTAAATGAAAAGAAAGGAAACTGAGAACGGAGAAAGACAACTGGATTACCGAGCATTGGTATTATTAATTTGCAGCATATATGATAGCGGAGAAGATACAAAATTGGAGGACAAACCCTTCCTCTATATTGAATTTTCATAATGGGTCCCCACAAAAGATGAGGCAAAATAAATTGGAGGACAAACCCTTCCTCTATAATGAATTTCCCCAAAGATTACAGTCCCCACACTACTACTTTTTTTGCCAATGCACCGGTATCACACATGGAAAAATGCATTGCTGAGTTGAGCTACATGCACATACTTAATTCATGATTTTTGATTGCTGAGTTTGAGGTTACAGATCATCAACTGATCCCCACTTGCAAATTTTCCACAAACACTGGATCCATGAAGAACCAAGACCTTTGCATAAAATTAGGCGACTCATGCTTGTTAGTTATAATCAGTTTTCACTTGGTCATTTGTGGTATACAAAAATGGGCCTATCAAATCCAGTTTTGCTGCCTGACAAGCCAGCAGTGATGTCCTCTACCCGTCTAAATCCAATCTGCAAACATTCAGAATGTCAGCACCTGAAGATTAAGACCAGCAGCAGAGACTGATAAAGAAGAGTCCACTAAAATGTCTATTACTCTGTTCAATCAACCATTGTACCTTATCCAGAAGAATTTCCCGGAAACTTTCTGGACGAAACATGATAGTTCGATAATTCATTGCTGCAGTCTGCACAAAAGGAAAAATATGCCTTAACAACATTGAATAGTTCATAATTCAGTAACAGATTACTATATTGAAAATCCAGAACAACCATTAGAAGTTTTTTTTATTCTGTTGTTTTGGTAAAAGAAAAAGATATGCACACATCCAATTACTACAATCTGCTAAGTGAAAATTAATTATTACCTCAGAGACCCGCCGATTCTTCTCATATGACTGCCAAGGTTGAGGTTCTAGCACTAGAATGCCACCCTGCCAAAGATACGACACTATCCTTCAATATAAACATCAGAAATTGAATTCTATGATAAGGAAACAAGGCCAAGCAACCATAATGAAATTTCACTCAAGGACTTTATAACAACAAGAAAAGTTCCAGTTACCGGATGGAGAAGTCTCCATATTTTTGAAAATAAACTAATCAATCCATCATCCCCCCAGTTCAGATGAATCCACTTTGACACACTCAAACTGCAAAAACACCATAAATCACATTTAGCCAGATCACTCAACATCGTTAAATAAACTGAGAAAAGAATCAATATTTACAATAAAGTACAGCAACGAGGACCTACAAAAGGTCAAGAGGTCATTTGGCATGCACACACAAAGAAAAAGGGTAGAAAGGGCGGAGGAGGATAGCTCTGCAAGTCAAGCGTTCTGATTATATGTTCTCTATCACCAAAGCCTTCGTTGAAGAAACAAATTTCAAGATAAAGTATCTAGAAAAATTAGCAAAACAAAATAAGAGTTAAGACACCTAATTCAACACCTATTTCCATGCTACTTTAGATTTAACTAAAGGGTGCGAATGCACCTCCTTGTATGTTAATTTAGGTTTAACAAATACAACAATGTTCTAGTAAGGTCACCACAGAATCCACAAGATACAATCGCATGAAAGAAAAACTAATTCTGGCCAGATGTGATAGTATCTTGGACAATTGAAAAGAATATTTGCCAGAAATTTATTCCATCCAATCTAGTCCATTTAATGGAAGATGAATATCTAACTTTATGTTTTGGAAAAATGAACAAAAGAATTAGGACGATGCTATATGACACCAAATGCACAACAGAGCCAATAACAAACTGGTAATTTATTCAACTCTATGGTCATTTTTTTCATGGGTCTATTCATGTATATGTATGTCGCTGTTACAAAATTTTCATGTCATACAGCATAGTTCAAAAACTAAACTCCATTTCTCATAGGCCTTTTCAAGCAGAATTGAACCCAAGGCCCGTCCAACATATATTTAGCCAAAAGTGAAAATTAAATGATTTCATTCTATTGACTCCTTTTCTTAATCATGCCTTCATAAAATACATGTTCACAGGACATGACATTGTGGAAGGAGAAACCCACCAAAGAATTGTATCATATTGCTTCTCTGGTGGACGCTGACTCTGAACAAAATTTTCTTGGCGGAAAGAAACTACATCAAATAGATCTCCTTCCACAGAAGGTGGCCCTTCCTCTTTTGTCTCAACTGAAGAAGTACCTGCACTATGCTCAGCACCATTAACTTTATTTGTAAGCTCCAATCTGGCAGCTTTTGAACTGTTCTTTCTAGCATTTTCTGTCCTTGCAAATTTTCTCAAATGCCAATATGCATCTGAAACTCTATCTAGAAGATTAAAAAATGAAACGCCCATCAGTTTTAGCAATCCGAACTTCCACATAAGAGAGGAACATATGCAACCAATAACTCAAAATAAAAACAACAGGAAATGTTTCAAAATATCACTACTTCAATCTAAATAGAGACATTACCAGAGTCAATATCGATTCCAAGAATGCTCTTGCACCGAAACTCTTTTGCTGCAAAATAAAGGTTATATAGTCAATATTGCATTGATCACAAGCCAAAACATGTTAAAACTGAATATAACAGAAATTGCACTTCAACTTTACAAAAATTTGCAATAATTTCTAGCATGCAAAATGTAAATTAAAAGAGCAGGAAAAAATTACCAATTTGAATGGTGATAATACCACTATTGCAACCAATGTCGAGACAATCCTTGCCTTGAAACCAATCCCTCTTAAAAACCTTAAGTCTTGGGTCTCCATCTGCTTCTTCGCTAATCTGTCATCTCATGAACAAATAAATAAATAATAAATCACTAGTAATTAATAAAGAAAATAAATAAATAAAAAGTGAAATACTCACACGATAACCGTAGTAGTTTCTGTAATTTCCAAAAGGAAAAACAATTTTGTGTTTCCTCTTGTTGGGGGTGACTTCTTGTTTTGTTGTTTTCTCTTCACTTTTTTCTCATTCTCCTTCTTTTCTTCTTTTAATGCATTCTTCTGATTTTGATAGTGACTGTTTTGGTTTTCTTCTGGATTCTTCTCAATATTATTCTGCTTATGCTTCTTCTTCTGTTTCTTCTTCTTCTCCATGATTTCGTTTTTGTTTTCTTTCTCTTCTGTCATATCGATATAAAGAGAGAGCAAGGAATGGTTTCTATCTGAAAATTTTGTTAACACAAAAAGTTAGGGTTTATGCGTCCTTTAAGTAAAGGGAAAACCAAAAGCCCATACAAGCTTGCCGCGTTTTACAAAGTCAAGCCCATCCTGCGGCTCTTGGATAAATAAAAATATAATTGTTAATTACAAATGAACCCAAATCGGAAGGGCTCTAATTTCAAATTAATAGCAATAAAAATATCTTGTAAAAAAAAAAAAAAAACCAGTAAAAAGCAGCATCACCATAATCCATCGCAATGCATAAAAAGAATCTATTTTTTTACATAATAAAGGAAAAAAAGAGAAAGATAAGCGTCAAAACAGATAGTAAAATTATCAAAATTCTAATATTTCCTTTTAAACAATTTTAAGCTATCAATAAAAATGCAAGAGTAAGTCAAGAACTGAAAATTAAAACTCAATTGCTTTTAATGAAAGCCTAAACCCTAAATCAATCAACCGTAATTAATTAAAAACAACATAAAAAATTATGTATATGGACAACACAATTAATCGACTAAGGGATGATCGGAAAAATACTTGCCTTGAATATAATAGAGAAATGTGTAGTTGATGGGTGGCGTTGCTGGTCAAGATGGCGAGGATGGTTGACTCGTGTGGTGGGTGGTGGGCGATCGAGAGTAAAGGCCTAATAGACTAATAGAGGGACCGATACGTTTCAAATTCACAAATTAAGAAGACCGAGATGAATTAACAAGATTCTATGGTGATTCAAAGGAATTTGTATTATTCAATCAAATGTAAGAACAATGTTTACAAGAATTAAACAAGTTTTGGAATTATTGAAATCGGATGAGAAAATAGAAGAAAAGAATTAAAGAGGAAATTTAGAGAAGAAAATAGAGGAAGATTAAAAATCCCAAACAAAATGCTCTTCCTGTGTTTTTCCTCTTGATTTATACGATAATTGTTTTCCTAACAATCTAACTAACCGAATTACATGTCGACTTGATTACATGGCTAACTAACTTCTCACATGTGGTCACTTATTGCTTCCCATGTGTTAGCCTTCTTATTTTCCCAATAATCTTCAAGCAATCTTGAAGCATTTTCCCAGTAACCTTCAAGCTATTTCCCAGACAACTCGAGCAATCTTCAAGCTTCCCGCATTTGAACTTAACAAAACTTCCACTCTTAAAGGACTTTGACCTCGAGGTCAAATTCGAGAAAATGTCTAGCCATTTCAAAGGCATATTCCCATATAGCTTCATCTGCAGAACAATTAGACCATTGGATCAATAATTTCATACCAGCTCTATTACCCCTCATGACTAACTTCCCGGTCTAAAATAGCCATAGAATGAATATCCTCATTTACCATCAAAAGCGAGTTGTTGTTGCATTAACACCTTCCCATAGGCGAGTTTAAGGCTGTGAAATATGGAATGTGGGATGAATTAAGAATTCAAGAGGAAGTTACAATGTATAGGCCATTTCCTCGGCTTTGTCCATAATCTAAAAGGGTTTATAATACTTTGAAGCTAACTTCTAGTTTTTCTTTGAAGCCACAGATTATTGCTTGTAAGCTTGAAGTTTAAGGTAGACCCGATCTCCAATTTGGAATACTCTTTCAAACCTTTTTTTATCTACTCGTATTTTCATATGGTTTTGAGCTTTAAGTAGAAGTCCATTCAATAAGGCCACCACATCTTCTTTATCTTACAAGAGTTGATTCACAATTGGTTCCTTGTCGTCATTAGGGAGATAAGAAAGGTGAATTGGAGGTACATAACCATACAAAGCTTCAAAAGGTGATTGTTGAATGGATGAATGGTAAGAAGTATTGTACCAAAATCCAACCGAGACACAACCATTTATCCCAAGTCTTTGGCAAGTCAAACCACATACATTTTAAATAGGTTTGTATGGTTACCGGACACACCTATTGATCACTTCGGTTTGACCATCGGTTTGAGGATGGTAAGCTATGAAAAAGTGCAAAGATACCCCACGATATGCAAAAAGTTCCTTCCATAACTTGCTAAGAAAGATAGAATCTCTATCCAAAACAATAGTGTTTGGTAGACTATGCAACTTAAACACATGATCCATGAATGCTTAAGCCATTGTGTAAGATGTGAATGGGTGAGATAAAACCATGAAATGTGCATATTTGATCAACTTGTCAACCACTACAAACACTATCGATTTACCATGAGAAGTAGGTAACCTTTCTATAAAATCCATTGAAATATTAGTGAAGATTACTATAGGTAAAGGCAATGGATTTAACAACCCAAGGTAGGCCACATTCTCATATTTGTACTCTTGACAAGTTGTACATTATCTTACATACTCCCTTACCTCTCTTCGTAACCCTTTTCAAATAGAACAGTTGAAGCTACTCTCTTGGTGGTGCCTTTAACTTTAAAATGGCAACTCGAACAAGAGTCATGATACATTGAAATAAGTTCCCTATGTAACTCGAGCATCTCTTCCTACCAATTTCTCTTTCCTTCGTAATTGATTGTCTTGCCATTCGAACTTAAACTGAATTACTCCCGAGGTACTCAATTGTGTTATGAGTATGTTTAACATAAAATCTTCCTCTCGTGATTTTTTAATCCTTTTTAATAAATCGAGTGGATATTGAAGAGATTGCCAATGTAGACAAATACACCCTTGACAATGCATCTGCTACATGATTGTCTTTGTCTTTTTTATACACAATGTCATAGTCTTACCCCACTAATTTGACTAACCAAGTGAACTCGATTTTCAATATGCATTGTCCGCTTCAAAAGATGTTTTAAACTTTGATGATCAATCCTAATAGTTAAGTATCTATGCATCATATATTGGTGTCATTTCTTAATAGCAAAGAGAATAACAATAAATTCTTTCTCATATATTGATAAGGTCCGATGTTTAGGAGATAAAAGCTTACTAATGTAAGATATGAGGTGTCCCTTACGTATTAACACAACACCAATCCTTTTTTCGGATGCATAAATCTCTATTGTGAACTCTTTCTCCCAATTGGGTAATGCCAACATTGGTGTTGTAGTTATTGCCACCTTTAATTCCTCAAATGTTATTTTAGCTACGGGATTCCACCTAAAAGCCTCTCTCTGAGCAAATCTGTTAGTGGCTTTGCAATTCGTCATATCCTTTAAACAAAGTCCTGTAATAATCTATGAGGCCTAAAAATCTCCTTAACTCGTTTGAGATTTTTATGTCTAGGCCATTGTTGGACCACTTCTATTTTATTAGGATCGGTTTGTACTCTTTCGTTAGAAATGTAATGGCCTAAATATTTAACCTTTGGAGTGTCAAAAGTGTATTTAGATTCTTTGGCAAATAAGGATTTTTCTTTTGAAATGCTCAATGTAATTTTTAAATGTTGTTTATACTTATGTATGGTTTTGCTATAAACTAAGATATCATTAAAAAAAAAAAACTAGAATGAATTTCCTAAGATAAGGTCCGCAAATATCATTCATGAGTGCTTAAAAGGTACTAGGAGCATTGGTTAACCCAAAAGGCATAACCAAGTGCTCATAATGTCCACTATAGGTATGAAAAGCTTGTTTTGAAATGTCATTTTTGTTCATTCTGATCCAGTGGTAACCGACTTCTAAGATCAAGTTTTGTAAACACCACGGAACCATGTAATTCATCTAGGAGTTCTTTAATTATGGGAAATGGGAAATGGTCCATCACAGATCAAATTGTTAAGCTTCCTATAATCCATACATAACCTCTAAGACTTATCTTTCTTTTTTACTAGAACCACGGGAGAAGAAAATGGACTTATACTAGTTATGACTATTCTAGCCTCCAACATTTCCTAAACTCGATTCTCTATTTCATCCTTTTTTAAAAATGATATCTTTAAGGCTTAATGTTCACGAGTTCAACTCCTTCCTTCAATATAATTATGTGATCATGTAACCTATAGGGTGATAACTCTTTAGGTTTTGCAAACACTCCCTCAAATGTCTTTAATACTATCACTAATGCTTTTGGAACCTTATTATTCAATTATATCACGAGTCCTCTTTTTCCCAATCCACATTGCTCATCTAATATATATGTAACCAATTCAATCGTTGTTGCTTACAAATTACTTTGTAACATCTACTTCTTGATTTTTTATTAACTTGGCCCTTTTTCTCTCTTAATGTGAAAGGTTCTCCTTCTACCACAAACTTCATCCATATATCTTTAAAATTCCAAGTAATGTCTCTCAATTCATTTAGTCATACTATTCTTAAAATTACCTCATACACTCCCAATGACATCACAAATACTATAGTTTCAAACCCCTTATGTTGCATATTCCATCGAAACTTTTTACAAACATACTCACATACCATGTCTCCTCCATTAGTTACCTTTACTCGTCATAGGTAAAATCTTGGACAATTCACACCTATTCTTCTTGGCAAATCCAAAATCCATGAAATTGTGTGTACTCGTCGTTGTCCACAAGCATTGTCATTTTCGTACTTCCTAAGTTACCTAACATTCTCATTGTTTGATAACATTTACCTCCTCATACGAGCATGAGTGAATATCTTAATACAACTCAAAATTCACATTTTCATTGTTACTAACTTACTCTACGAGTACCACTAACAAACTCACCATCATTCTCATTATCCTCAATTTCCAGTATAAGCGAGTTGTTTCCCTTTGGATTTATGTCCCGGTGCATATTTTTCATCATAATAATAACACAAGCCCTTAAGTCCTCTCTTATCCGACTTATGATTACAAGGTAATCTCCTTGCTTTGAACATTGAATTATCATTTTGGAATTGAGTTGGTAGAGTCAATAGGCCTTTCTAGTTAGTCATCTATGGTTTTTGGTGATGTAGTTAATTTTGTGGTTAAGTAGTGTTGTTGTTTCGGAAAATTGATTGAAGTTAAGTTTACGGGTGTTTTGATTATGTCTCGGGTTGAATAAAGTAGTATATTTAGGAGGGAATCTATTAGTTTAGAACTTATTATTTGGGTTGGTTTCTTATAATTTAGCTAGAGAAACAACTTTTTTGACATTTTTTGGCCTTATGACTCTAACTAAAACTTGTAATTTAGGTCTTAATCCCCCTATGAAATAGCTAATGATATATTCTTCCGGTAACACTAGCTTGTTTATTATTGAAATGAATCTCTTCGGGTAAGATTGCACATTATTCTCCTATTTTAATCCCATTAATTCAGCCATTGGATCACTAAACATCATGTTCCCAAACCTTATACTCATGGCTTTAATATAATCACTCCATTTGATCGAATATGTATCCCATGTATATGTTCATATATTTGATGCCATTCCAATACCTCATCCTTTAAATGAATAGCTACTATAATCACCTTAACTTCCTCGGGTGTTCTATCATACAAGAAAAATTTTTCACACCTAAACACTCAACCCTCAAATTCTTCATCGGAAAAATTTAGAAATTCTACTCGAGATACCCTATTGCTAGTTTGATATCCATACCGATCACCATTGTACCCCCAATGATTGTATCCATCGGTATTACTTATAGCAGAAATCCGAATTCGAGTCTATTAAAACCACCTCCTCTTGCATTATCATTCAAGCCGGGATTCATTCCATTATTATGATCCATTCCTTCTTCTAGGTTTCTTGACCCTCTAGGTTCTTTCCGAGACTCTCTTAACAATGCAATTTCAGATTCATGCTTATCAAACACAAAAGAACATTTATCACTAAGGCCGGAGATTACCCGAGATAAACGAGCCACTATTTCCTCCTATTTCTTCAATTCAACATTTGTCTTTGACATGTTTGCTTCTCCTCTTACTCACAAGTGCCAAATCGATGCTTTGATACTAATTTGATACATTCCAAATTCATTCAAAGGAATTTGTATTATTCAATCAAATGCAAGATCAATGTTTACAAGAATCAAACAAGTTTTAGAATTATTGAAATCGAATGAGAAAATAGAAGAAAAAGAATTACAAAGGAAATTCAAAAAAGAAAACAAAGAAAGATGAAAATGCCAAACAGAATGCTCTTTCCGTGTTTTTCCTCTTGATTTATACGAGTTACCATTTTCCTAACAACGTAACTAACCGACATTACGCATAGACTAATTGAATTACATGTCGGCTTGATTACATGGCTAACTAACTTCTCACGTGTGGTCAATTATTGCTTCCCATGTGCCAACCTTTTTATTTTCATAGATTTGTGCTTAATAGGGACCTACCGATAAAGGGAAGAAGAAGGAAGAGACTAAGAGAAATTGTGAGAGAGTAGTGAAGTGAGCTTTGAGAGATTGGTTAGAGAGAAGGAAAAGGAAAAGGGTCTTAGGTTTTATATATTCAGATTTTGGGTGAATCAATTAAAAAAAAATACAAAAAAAAAAATAAATAAATAAACAAAACTCGAAAACCCGAATTAATTTCGAGTTTGGTTTTTACACTTGAAATTACTTATAACCTAAATTCAATTGGTGTTTCTAGTTTGGTTTTATTCGGTTTTTCATGTTAACTTGAATATTGCTCACCCTTAATTCCATGGATTTATAACTCCACTCTAACATTTTTTTTTTTTTTTGGCTTTCTTTTAACAAACAAAACAATCCTTGACATTTTAGTAGATGTTCTTAGTTGTCATTTTCTTTTTTAAATATCTAAAATTATTTGAATCTTTCGCAATATGGGAACCAACATTCTTGGATGGATGTTTGACTTTTAAAAAGATTCGGGAAAAAAAAAACTAATTGTTTACTTGTGTTACGTTATACATCGAGCAAAATAGATGAAATAAAAATCATTATAATTTGATAGTCATCGGCATAAAGTAGTTATACAAAAATATATCAAAGTTAAATGAAAAAAAATACAAAAATATATCAAAGTTAAATGAAAAAAAAATTCATGGCACCTTAACGATAACCACACTGAAAATAGACTCACAAATGATAAAAAAAAAATCTAAAAGATTTGAGAAGGATTACCATTCATGGCACTATTCACCCAAAATCATGTGCATTGTTCATTTTCACCATGCTGTTATATTTTTATTACTTTTTTAGCTTTTTTTACATTGATAGGCAATTTTGACATTATATTTTATTTTAGTCCTTGATATTTATAAAATATATTTTTGATTTCTAGATCACCAAGCACTCATGCTTGCTTTTATTTATTTTTTCAGCAATTTTTTATTTTTTTATTATTGAATTGGGTGTAAAAATTATGCAAAATTAATTATTATTTATTTATTTATTTTGGTTTTTTATAAAGGCTATATACGATATGTTTATATATATATATATATATATATATATATATATATATATATATATATATATATCACTCTTATTATTTAAAATTGATTTCTTCAATTTTTCATTTCTTATGAAAATCTCATCAAATTTATTTTGTTTTTTATAATTTAAAATAAATATAATTTAAATGAATGAATCATCAGAAATGCTGAAATACCACCTTAGACTGACCCCATCTTTCACATCAAATAAAAATACAACCAAACTGACTACTAACAAAATCACTCTTCCATTGCCTGATTTTGTTCGGCTTTTGGTTGGGTGACCTTAACTTTGATCTTGGGGTAACGTGAGAGATGGATCTTGTTGAAGCACATGTGGAGCCTTGACCAAGATAATACCTTTTTTGCCTCCTCTGCTGGTTGCCTTTCACACCCTTCCACACGTCGAAAATTTTCAATTAACATTAATACATTTAAGAAAAATTGTAACATCTCATGACTGCTTCATCAAGGTGAAAATGAGATGGATGTTGAACCTCTGCTTTATGTGGTCAGCTGCCCTCTCAGATCTGACCTTATCAATCTTCTTGATGGCCTTCAGAGTATTCTCAGCAAGATTCCTGTCATATCTCTCAGGTCTATTTCGCTTTCTCTGAAACTCAAAGGTCGAATCCTGTTCAAAAGTAGAAGGGAATGAGAAACAGGACAGTCAAAAAACAATTTTGAAGGTTTTTCTTTTCTTTTCATTCCGGAGACATCTGAAGACACGACCAAAGTAAAATAAGTCTCTTAACCTGTGTCATGTCTTTTCCATGCAACCTCCTATAGGCCTTGGTCCATTTTACTTTCCGTGGATTTCTCTTCATTTTGAAGTTCTTGTGGCACTTAGATCTACAAAATCGAAATACCTGCGCTAAGGCTTGACAATTAGAAACTTCATGCGCAACTGTTTAACTGAAAACATTATGAGTTGGACCAGCAATATAAATCAGAAACTCTCAATTAGATGGACTGCACTTGAGAAAAGAAACTTTGAACCTAATATCAAAAGTAACATTGAACCTAGTATTAAAAATAACTATGAATCTAAAAGGACATTAGATTTAGAGATTTTTGGATAAAAAGTTGATTATGTTTTTGAAAGATATCGATCACTTAAAGACATCATTTAAAAAAAAATACCATATTTGGTTTAATCCTAAAAATATCTCTTAAGAATTCTATTTACTAAATTATTTTCTAAGTTCGTTTTCAAGCTTAATTATCATCTAGGTCAAATTATTTTTTATTTGTGACACCATATTAAATTAATGTTGGACCTTAAGGTTGGAAATGACGTCAATTTAGCATAGGATCTAATTACATCCCGATATGACCAGCATGTCGAGGAACGACTTAATTAGTGAAATATGTTTAAACTGATTTTGCATTTATCCTAGCTAATTCTCTTTCTTTCTTTTTCTTTTTCTTTTCTTTTTTTGTTTATTTTTTTATTGTGGGTTGAGACCAACATTAATCCCTATTCAAATGGGAGATTCGTTAGGTCGACTTAAATTTTTCTAATTAATCTAATAAAGTAAAGCACCCTAACTTTTTTTAGCATTTTTATTAAAGAATAAAATATATCAAGGCGATCGTCTATACCTATAAATAGGAGACTTATTAGCCCGACATTACAACCGAATGAAAATTCACATGTTAAAATAAAATTTTTAACCTAAATGTTTTTATATTTTTCTAACACATCTAAAATTAAATATTTATTACAAAATAGCATAATAATGAAAAAAAAAAAGGTAATAGAAACAAATCATATGAACTAAAAAGTAACCAAAATACCCTTAGAATGCAGCTGGAAAAATGGCGAAACACCCCTGTTTTCAAAAAATGATAGAATTGCCCTTACTTACTATCGAAGGTCATTATCCCTCGTCTGGCCATCAATCGATGCGTGGACCACTCCATCATGTAGGGGACGACCATGTAGAGCTGCATCATCGCTGCTTAAGGGAGGAGATCAACGAGCAACAAGTTTCGACCAATCTCCTTCTTCTTCTTCAATCAATTTTAATCAGATTTAATGGCTTTCAAGGCTCCAAATCAGACTAGAGAAGCTCTTGGGACTTGCTAGAACTTTATTTTGGTCATTGAGTGGTCTGATTTGATCAAAAACAGGAAAGAAAAACAGATTATGAGTTGTGAGTCATACGGATCTGAATCGGGATCGTTTTCCTCCATTAAGTATTTTAAAATTTTTTATTCTCTTAAACCATATCAAATTTTTGTGCGATCCATATTTGAGAATTATAATACTACTCATTGGCTGTTTCAAAATTTTGCAATATCCACATTTGAGAATTATAATGGTGAATGTAATTAAGGACCGTTGTATTTTTTTTCCTTTTTCTTTTACGCTTTTTTAAGCTGAAAATGAAAACGAGCATCATGTAAACTAACATAAATATTAGATGGGACATATTATACCAACAACACCTACACATATTTGGAGAAACCTAAACCACACCAATATAGCCCAAGTTCAAGGTAACTCCATACTTTTGGCCACATGACATAGAATTGCCATTACCAGAGCTCGGACTCAAAACTCTTTGACGAGGTGGAAGAGGTGACTTACCCAACCAGGAGTGTGAAGTTAAAGTGCGTTGGTGTATCGTAGCAGAAAAGAAAAAAGAGTTCAATTATGACTTAAAAGGATTAAAAATCAAAGCCATTGCAACTATCTGGTAAGTTTCACTGTAAAAACGTCCACCATTACACAATCTTGAGAATGACAAAAGCTCAGAAATGGCTTGTTACAATACAAATCTTTTAGGCATTCTACGCATTACAGAACTCAACTTCCAGAAGGGGCTGATCAGACATAAGTATTTTGCAAAGAATCTCTCTTTGAATCAAACAAAATGGGGAAAGCTACTGCAAAGCTACCACCAATGGGTTTATTGCTATGATCCCTGGAAAAGAGACAATCGTTTTATCTACAAAATGCTATTTGATCACTATCTCACAGGTGACAAATTTTGACAATTGTTTTGGCACAAGATTAGAAGCGGGCATGGCATATTGATCCTGTCCCGAGACTCACTCCAATTCCTTGAGAAAGTCAATGTTATCTACAAAAACCTGCAAAAAGAAAAATAAAAACTGTAAAACCAAACTAACAATACATATGATGCATGGAGTTCCTTAAAATCTTCCTGATGGCACTAAATGTACAGCCAGATTAATCACAGAAAATTTTAAATTTGAAGATAGGATTTGCAATTGAATTGCAGTTATACACATAATAACAGGTGAAATACGAGCAAGTTTCAGATCTTCAATTTGTGAAGACCAAGTCTTGTAATGGTCTTCAATTAGCCAAGCCCAAGAACTAAATCTCTAGTTATTAAGATGCCATCCTAGGCTCATCTTGAACAATGCCTCGCAGGCACATAGCCAGTGTTTATTGAAAAAAAAAAAAAAAAAACAAACAAACTAACAGAAGAAAAACCACACTACATCATCAATAAAATTTGAGCAAGCTTTAGTCCTAGCAGGGATCTGACAATCCAGTCCCATATCATTCATATCAAGCAAACTCTAGCAGTCATGTCTTGCACAGGCACATCCTCCTCATAAAGAAGTCTGCATCTGAGTAACCCAAGGGATACACCTATAACATATGTTCATGAAACTTGTTCAACAGATCATGCAGCCATGTCAAAGAGTTGACAAAGAAAAGCCAATAAAATCATTCAATGCAATTACAGTTTGTTCCAACATTCCTGCTTTGATAGCAAAAAATATCATCAGGCAGAAGCATGAAGGAAAAAAATTTTGAAACCATACCGTCTTCCAACCATCTGGATCCAAGCATGCAGTAATCTTGGTGCTGATACCAGGTAACGGTCCAGGCTCCCGGGTAACTTTCCCACCAAAAAATTTAACTGCTTCTGCAGTTCTATAGACATCATTGGTGCCTATCGCAATCTTTTACAATGACAAAAAAAAAATTAGTCCCAAATTGACCCAAGAAAAACCAATCAATCATTGTCATCAAGTACAGTGAGAAGAAGAGAAACACTAAAACAAAAATCTACCATACATAAGAAAAAGTTCCACACCTGAGCATATGCATTTCCTTTGTCATATTCAGTAACCCCGTAGTTGTATGTCAACTCCAGCACACAATTTTTTTCTTCAGGACCATAACCCATCATGGCTATTGTATACTGATAGTAGTAGAAACAAGATTGTGTCAGTTAGCATAATAAATCAGATGTCAAACAAGGGATGTATATAATTTTTTGAATGATCAAATCAACTGATCTAGAAATGCAAGGCACTGTACATAATCAATTCAAAGATACATAAAAGGATCGAGCTGTAATGGCAATTTCTCATGAATGTAAGAAAGGTTTGGAATATGATGCAAAGAAGCAATGCATGCAAGAGAATCAAGAAACAACTAAAACATTAAGTTCTTTCTGTTGAACCAAAAGTCCTGTCAAATTTTGCTCCAACATGACATTTTCTGGTAGATCTCTCCATAGAAGACCTGAACTTAGTAAAAAACTTGGGTTACACATGGTTAGTAGGTGTTTTATTGCTAGATAGGGATATTTGAGCAACTCTTTGACAGATGCTTTTTCTTTTTTACTATCCTTTCTCCCTCGCAAATTCCCCCCGATATAAGATGAGAAATTTCTATCCAAAATATTGCAGAAGTATCAAAATGTTTGTTTGGGATCTCACAACTACCAGTAAAACAAATCGGTTGATAATCTTGCCAGAAACTCCACTTCTGAGTCCTGACTTCAATGGGAATCAAGTCACCAATTGCAGAAATTTTTTTATAATGAAAAAGACCACTATTTGATAGTAAAAATTGGAGACAATAATAAAGTAAAATAACAACTACTTTCAGCCCATGAAAGCCATGAAAATAATCTTGTTGTCTCTTAGGGAGTGTTCTCCTGTCATAATGAAATGTTGTTTTCATCCTATATCCTGTCTAACATAAGCCAGGCAAAGTTACTGTTCACTTCAATGCCTAATCCTTTTAATTTCATTGCAGTTGAAAGGTATAAAAGAAAATACACCAACTAATCAGGCCTAATTATTGATTCTAAGAAGCTAATTTATTACACAGAGTATAACCAAGATATGAATACGGTGAACGACATGCACTTAGCAAAGAGGCCAAGTTACCTTGTACTCTGGATTATCTCGTTTGCGAAGAAGCTCCATGCCAAAAGCCTATATCATGAAACAAGTTGCAGATTTATCACCATTAACATGAGATAATCAGCATGCAAATAGTTGCTTGATCAGGCCAGAATAACTCACTTTCTTGTAAAAATTTATAGAACGATCAAGATCACCAACACGAAGCATGACCTGACAGAGTGGCTCAGGGGTAGGTCCCCTTTCCAACAGTTCAAATTTATAACCATCAGGATCCTCAATAAAAGCGATAACTGTATTACCGCCTTTAACAGGACCAGGTTCTCTGGTCACTTTGCCACCCTTGGCCTTTATGAGTTCAACAGTCTTGGCAACCTAATCCAAAGAGCAAACAAGACCTAGTTCAAGTTTTTCAGGAACCATAAAAAAAGCTGACAGTCTAAGATAATACAAAAAATTAACTCAAGGATTGAAAGGTCCAAAGAGCCCCACCATTTCAATTTCATTGCAGTTTTAAGAGTACTAAAAAGAATAAAAAGAAACTTCAGCTATAGGAAATTACATCCTCAACTGCAATGCCAAAATGTCCAAATCCAGATCCAATATCATAGCTGTCAACTCCATAGTCTGGCAACATTAAACAACTAAAAATAAACACCCACAAAATAAAATATGAAAAAAGTTAAGAGACATTAAGTACTGAGTTTATTAAAATTGACAGAAAACTGAATGGGGTGGCAGTCGGTTAAGTTACTGTAAGTGAGTTCTATGACGAAGTGAGAATCTTCGGGTCCATATCCAAGAAAGGCATTTGTATATCTCTCCTCAGGTATGTCACGTTTCCTCAGCAGCTTCATTCCCAGACACTCAGTGTAGAACCTGCATTGAGCATAGGTTTTGTTCGACCATGAGATGCTTGCTCATCATCACTTTCTTATAAGCAAAAAATTAGATACGAGATTAAACACAGCATACTTTATAGTCCTGTCCAAATCCCCAACGCGATAAACAACATGTAGCATTCTACGCTTGTCCTTTTTTACCCACTCCAACAAACTCTCTTGGGTTGCAGCTGTGCTGGCTTGTGCCATATTTCCAGCTGCAAAGGTTCTACCCTCTCCTCTCCAAATCTTAGACGAAGCTTTCAAACCGAAGAAATGTGATTGCGGAACAGCTGCATCAGCATCACACTAATTAAGCAGACCATGGGAGAGAAATAAGCCCTAGCTTTCAATATATTATTACTAAAAGAATCTCCAGAAATGTAACAATATAATTAATTAATTATGAATTCGATTATTTCAGATTACTAAAAAAAATTACACGAAAAGAAAAAGGAAAAGTATAGTTACTTACCACTGGCAAGATAAGCGAATCTGCGAGGAGAAGGATTCAGAGGCAAACGACAAGCAGCACAAGTATTGGTTCTGTTACAGAACCTGAATGAAGAACAAGTCAGAGATGATGATGGTCTAATTGAGGAGGACGCCATAGTTATCATCCTAACCGTTAACTTAATTTCTTATTTTTTTTAAAAAGTAAAATGACAAAATCTCTCGGATATCTTCTTCTTTTTCTTCTTCTAATATCGATGCCTTATTCTGTGCTGAGAGGTAGAGAGGACACAGGAGGTAGAGGAGAGGTTTGAGATAAGCACCGAATAGGAGCAGGAATAAAGTTAAGTATTTCTTTTCTTTTCTTTTCTTTTTTTCCCCTCTCTTTCTTCTTTTTTTTTTTTTTTTTTTTTTTTTGGGCTAAGCTGTAGGGGAAAGCGACCTGAGCTGAGGTTCTTTTTGTAGATTCGGGTGGAGCGGGGTTTGTCTCGTGTAGTAGTAGATGGAATGGACGACAATATTCACGAGCTCAACCGGCTTTAAGATGCTATCAGTTTCAAACCAATTTTAAATTAATTTTGGATTTTAAAAGAAGGAAGAGTATAAGTGAGATTTCTATTGGTTTTAAATATAGAAAAAATTCAAAAAAATTGAAAAACATTGCCATTTTTTGTATTTATTTACAACTGGAATTTTTTTATTTCAAAAAATATTTTATTTTAAGCTATTATATATATATATATATATATAGGTATTGAAGAATGGCTTACAAAACAAGGATTTCTCAAGCCATCATCCTCAACAACCAATTTCCTTGCACAAAAATCGTTGTGAATGCCGGACTCGCAGAGACAGAAATCGGAAGATGAATACTTCGCCATCATGTCCGAGATGGTTCAAAACCGATCCAATTCATCACATACGACGGATTCGGATTCGAGTCGAACCCATGATACATTTGGGAAATGATGACGAAGACGAATCCTATGACATCTTCTCCCCAGTTCACCACCCGTGAACTTTGACAAAACCTGCACATTCCGGGCATCTTCCTATCTACCGACAAAAACAGCTTCTCCGGAGACAAAAATTCACAAGACCATCCATTGTTCATCCCACGTGACACAAGAAGACAAAATTGCTTTCGGCGTCTTACTCGTTCATCAACATTTCCACTTCAAAGCCTTCGGGTTGCCAAGGTAATTGCCAAGACAAAACCCACAAATCTTACAAAAAACCTTATAGAAAACATTATCATAGGGATCAACCCAAAGATATAGAACCTTTCTATAAGAAACCATCCAACAAAAACCCCAAAAAACCCTTTAGGAAAACCCGAGTTTAGATCCCGATCTAGAGCCGAGCTAAAGGATGTTACTTGTTTCAAATGTGGACAAAAAGGCCATACGGTAAGATATTGTCATATGAATACTAGATTACAAGAGCTTCATTTAGATGAAGATGTTTATAACAAAATCTCTGCTTTGTTAGTCGATTCCTCGACCCTTCGGACTACTGCAGTAGTGAAGAGACTTTTCGGGTAGATGAACTTGTCACGTCCTCCGAGTTCAAAACCCGAGTTCGATAGTGAACCGGATAACAAAACCAAACATGCCGATTGTCTTAACCAAAGACCAAGACCTCATTTTAGACATAGTCGAGAGGATTGATGATCCTCGATTACAAAAGGAATATCTAGACGGACTCTTAAAGTCCGTGGAAGAAAAACCTCATGACAAACCAAAACCTTCTATCTTGCCTTCAACTAGTACTAGCACGTATGACCTTCTTGCTATCCTAGATAGGAAGAAGAAGACCAAGAAACATATGACCACAATTCGGGACCTTCGGTCCGAGATTAAGGTCATCAAAACGGAGCTTAAAGCGCTCGAAGACAAACAAACCGGAGACTCCGGTCTCTTGAAAACCACTGTTGGACGGACGGGCGGATGAAGAGCCGGACTCGACTGCGAAAACCATGATAATGACCAAGAGTTACCAAACCTTGAAAACCTGGAACACGTTCCAGAAGATTTCCTATTTGTACTTCGTGAAGTTACTTCTAGGAAATATTTGATTAAGATTACTCTTGTGTTCCATGATAATTACAAAATTGATGCAATTGCCTTGTTTGATACTGGTGCTGATCCGAATTGTATTAAGCAAAGCATTGTTCCAAAACGTTTTCATATGCATACACATGAACGTCTATCTGCGGCAAACAATTCCAAAATGACCATACATGGTAAGACGAAGCCTCTGTGGTCGGTGGTCGTATTGCAATCAAAAATCATTTTACGCTTGTTGAGAATATGCATCATATGGTGATCTTAGGAACACCTTTCATAAATCTTGTTACTCCTTATTCCGTGAAGCATGATTGCATACTTTTCAAAACCGAGAGATACCAAACTTGTTTTCCCGTTCATTGAGAAACCCAGAATCGGGAATTTGAATATTATTAAAACATGTTCTATTTTTGAAATAAATTCCATGGTTCTATGTACTCCTCTAGTTTCGCATATCCCTTCTACAAAACTCATAGGATCTCCTCCAACTTGTCCTTTACGGATGGGTAGATTTTATGAACAAAATGAAAATTATGTCCAAGAAGAAGCTATTGAGTTCAACCAACTGCCTATTCTTGAAGAAGATATCCTAGAAGACATTATGGATATTGTGGGTCTCAATACCGATCAAACGAGAAGATTATTTAACGGTTAGAGCCCTAGATAGATCTCCCGAGACCTTAGAAGCATATGCCTTAGATGCTATTGATGATTTCAAAGACGATCTCATCAATGAAGCACTCGGCAATATTGAATATGCCCTTTCAAACAGAGTTGACTCCATAGAAAGTTACCTTGAGGATGAACTCCAAAGAGGCATAATCAAAAACAAAATCCTACCCCAATATTGTGAGTTTGCGGCCATTATTGCCACCGATCCCGAGCATTATAGATGGCTAGTTAATTCATAAACCCCACAATTGCATTACTGCATTTTCATATGCATCCAAAATATTTTCCTAAACCATTTCCAAAATCTTTTATTCGAACTTTGTAAAATCCATTTTATCAAAATTTCTATTAACGATCTTGACTTAAGAATGTACGCAAAACGAGTCTTGATGGCCAAGAAAGATAAAGGGAAAAACCCCCTTATACCGGAAAGCCCAAAACCCTTATCTTCAGCAAAACCCATCTCTTGGGCGGATCTCGTCGAAAAACAAAACCCGAAACTCCTATCTCAACCCAATCTATTGATGACTCGGGTCCAGAATTTAACAAAACAAATTGAACTACTTCGGCCCCGCAAAAGATCTCGGGTATGCATCTCGAGCCCATTTCATATATATATATATATATATATATATCTCAAAAACAAATTAGCAAGTATTGTAGTGATCATTTAGGTCTTGTAAATTATCGACGCCACCTGCGGACAACAAGAAATCGCCATCTAACTAGTCGGAGAGAATTAGAAAACTCTAAATAAATTGATCTGCGAAGATATCTAAATAAAGAATCAATTACTAATGAAGAAGATATAATATCGTCGTTATCTCGTCCTATCTAAGATAAGTTACATTGTCCGTATGTAAAAATAAATGTATGATTTTCCTATGTTATGTTTCTATGCCTACTTGAATGAATTTATTTTAGTGAGGTGGAATCAAGAAATTTGGGGTTTAGGTCGGTCTTAGGTCGATACCCATACTTAAGGATAAAGGTGAGGGAAATTGGAATGTTGGTTAATCTTTAGCGAACACAGACCTAAACCGATAAATAGGTGAGTTTCTAAGGATCGATAGCATTTTATTAACATAAGCGAGGAGTTACCGACAACTTCACTCACACAAATGGAAAGCCACCGATGACTTCGAGTCATAGATTTAAGAAATCACCAACAAATTCATCACATAAGTGGAAAGCCACCGACAATTTCATTTTACTCGAGCAAAGAGCGGGTAACTAGTTTGGAAGCCACCGATGACTTCGTTACATAAGTGAGAAGCCCTCGATGGCTTTGTTTCGAACAAACGGACAACAAATAAAATAATTTCAAAACTACCGACGGTTTCATCATACAAGTGGAAAGCCACCGATAACTTCATTTCGGTAATTCAAAAATTAAATAAAAACTAGTTCATGAGTCACCGGTAACTCAATCCGCATAAGTGGGAAGCGACCGGTAGCTTCATCTCAACGGACAAGCAACATGGGATAATTGATTAGAAGTCATTAGCGAGCTTCAACCACATAAGTAGGAAGTCATCAATGGCTTGTTTTTTGACAAATAGAAAACATGTAAAATGATTTCAAAATTGTCGACATCTTTGTCACATAAGTAAAAAATTACCAATAACTTCATTTTCATAATTGGTTTTTAAAGAAAAATAGTTTTGGAGCCACTAACAACTTCGTCTATATTGGTGGAAAGTCACCGACGGTCTCTTTTTTGATGAGCGAGAAAACGAGTCAAATAATTTCACATAGTAGTAAACATGACGGTTATCTCATTTATAATCAAGCAAAACATTTGATAGTTTAATCATCTATAATATGATATTTTCATCGATATTTTCATTATTTTTATTAATCGTTTTTGACAATTCATATAGGTTTAAGATGTCGTGAAAATGCTAAAAGCCCATTTTTTGGGTCGGTTTTACCTTCTTCAATCTCGATGAAGACCGAAATTATTTCAATCAACCGAGAAGGAGGAAATAATTGTTGATAAGCTTCCCTTTAGTTCTATATTCCACCATAAAAAAAAAATGCTCATTTTTTTTTTAGTTTTATCCACTTCAAGAAACGAGTTGGTTTTTGTTGATAGTATAAAGCCTCATTGATTTTTAGCACATATGATGTATCGGTCAATAGAATGAGCTCTAAACATATTAGGATTAACGAGAGGGAAGAACATTTGCCACACTCATTTCGATTTAATGATTGGGAAAATAATGCCGGATGCACTCAAAATTAACCTCGCTCGAATCCATATGCCTTTAAGTGATGGGAATGACGAGTAGCGGATGACCAACACCATATATGGCAACCGCAAAGAAAGGAAGGACCAAAGTCAATGGATGAGGGTTTAGACTAGACAATAAGGCCACGAGTCTTATTGAGAAATTACCCTCGAGGCTTAAATA